AAGTGCTCTCTCTCCAACGGTAGCTCTTAGTGAACGAGCAGAGATACTTGTAGGCTTGATGTCGTTAGAGAACTAGCTGCCGACTCCACCATATGGCCATGAGAATGCGGGTCGACTACTTCGGCGGTATTGCTCTGCCAAAGTCGCCAACCTTCACCCTTGTATACTCGTGGGGCTGCTAGATGTAAGTGTGGCCTCAAAGCGCAAGGGGCATTCCGAACAGGATTCTTGATGAGCGTGCGTGCCGAGAGCAGCTGACTATCGCAGCTTAACGAGAGGTTTCGACGCTTAGAGAGAGATGTGTATTCTATAGAGAAAGGTAAAAGGTGTTGTAGTTTTCCAAGAGAAAGGAAATAGGAAAGATTGGTATGTGCTGCACCGGTTTGAATGAAGGGGGGCAGGCCAAGGTCGGGCGAGGCGAGGCGAGAAAGATGCACCGACCCGAGAGGCCAAAAAAATACTCTGAAATGAGGGAAAATGCTGACACTATTCAGATGCTAAACAGGACGAGAGCGTGGAAAAGGAACGGAAAGGACGGCAATGTGAAGAGGGTATGAAACGATGCTGGTGATGGGATAGAATGGTAATGATGGAGGAGCTTGGCTTCGCGTCAATTTTCGGTCCATGTTGTGTTGTGGTCGGCCCGCACTGAACACTAGACCAGACTCGCGCCTGCGCATCCTAGCCCTTGGCCATGTTTCTCGAATCGAGCTCATGAACCGCTGGGGCTTAGTTTCGGTGTGTTCACCCAAACTTGAGTACTCCGAAGGAAGGAAGGAAGGAAGGAAGGAAGGAAGGGGTGAGGAAGGCGCAGACGCGGTCCTTCAAAGACGCCTAATCGAATTGCTCAAGCTAGCTCGTTTCCTCCTTTCGCACCAATCAGCAATATCGAATCCTTCATCAAAGGCAATGCTGTCTCTGAACGGCACACAGATACAATCGACCCCCAAGTTAAAAATACCTTGGTCTCGGCAATTATACGTTTCAGATGAGAGCCGACTGACTTGCTGAGCTAGACGCCTCATCCGCCTCACCCGCCGGAGTACATCCGAATGCCACCACCCAACGCAAGTCTTCTTTTGCGCCGGCCCCTTGCGTCTGCGTTGGGTTAACACTACGCTACACCGAGACCCCAAGGTTGCACTCCGTAGACGAGTGAATGAAATGAAACGAAGGAATGAATGCACGTCATGATAGCAGCTGCCAGTCATCACCAACTCGCATCATGTCAGCCATCCACGCAGCAGCTGCACCTGCATCCACCTGCGCAAGCCCTCTGAGCCCAGCCCAAGCCCGTTCGTTGCATGTTGGTTCTAACTACGCCATACTGGGTACCCAGGGTGCTAGCTAATGCATGTCCCACCATGCTGCACCCATCCCGACCCTCTGGATTGTGCCCCTCCCTCACTCTGCCTGACAGCCAAACCATTGCCAGCATTCACATAATCCCTGAACCCAACCTGCCAAACCACCAAGGATACGGATGCCCTTGGCTTAAAATCCTTCACACCGACTCAGACACCAGAGCCGGGCGCGCACGGCGGCAAGCGGCTAATGGGGGCTCGCGCCGAGAGCCTGTCATCAATGAAGATCGATTAATCCCCTTTCACCAACGCACAATCATACCAACCATACTAGTATCACCCAACCCACCCTGCCACCACGCATAGCTAGTATCTTCTGGAACAAATCCTTCTCACGCACACAACACTCTCACACACATCCCCCCACACTGCATTGCATTAACGCAAACCTGCTTGTCGAACCCTGCCGCTCCAACGTGCAGCCTTTCTATTTTTGGCGTGCATACGGAGTACTGCTTACGCGAATCGATAGTCGCCGTTTTTTCAGGAACATTAAGCTCGGCAGGCTGAGAAGCACATGCTTGTGGCTTGATTCCGGCAGATAGATCTGTTCCCAGCGTTTGAGCCCCTCTGCCCTGTGGGGGCAGGACGTCGCCTAAGCCATCAATCAAATTGTGTGGGCACAGGTAGTGATGGCCCAAGTAAAATTGCACACCGCGTGAGAGCCCAGTTACCAATGTTTTACAGATGATAGATCCGGGACGGACCCAGGATGCGTAGGCTCTGGCAAATAACCTTGAATTGCTACGCCGAAGTGGTCCTCTCGGTCCGTGACGTTGCTATGCGAGAGCAGCTGCTGCGAAGCAGTTTCTCCGTAATTTGAGGCAAAATTGAAACCTTGGCATTATGTTATTATGTTACAGCACGCTTACATTCACGCAGTCGAGTTCAAAACACAAGATGAGAATGAAAATATAGTAAGAGAGATGTCTACTCTTCCAGTTCAATTGCTTGTATGTGGCAACCAGTGTCACAATGTTCTGTAGTATGTTGTGAGTGTCGACGGTTCCAGACCGTTACACGCTGTGTCTGTAGCCAGCACAGAGATAGCGGACGTTGGTATCCAGCGCCATGCTTGAGTTTCCAGCCAGGAAAACCATGAAAAGAATGAAAACAACGAGTGGAGAAGAAGAAGAAGAAGCTTCATCTCGGCACACAAAGCAGAAAAGGGGAAAAGGTCAGAAGCCACGGTGCCACGCCACAGCTGTCATCGACCAGCAGATTGCGGCATCCCAAAAGGAGACACCGCAACAGTACGAAGTCGATGGATCGCGTGACACCAGGCCAACAAAGCATTATCGTGTGTAATAAACGTCCAAAACGCCCCTGTATGATCATTCCCACCCTTTGTTGTCACATGTACATGAAGCCCTGAGGCCGTTCGTCATGAATGGGAAAAGTCTAAGTCAAAATCGTGTACCGCGTCCCTTGGATGTCTGGATGCAAATGACTATAAGAGTCACTGCAAAAAGAATCGCATGCCAGTATAAAACAAAAGAAAAGGAGAAAACAAAAAAATAAAAGAAGAAAAGAAGAAAAAGAGAAAAAAGTCAAAAGAAACAGAAAACTGGAAGAAAGTGGAAAAGGAACAAAGAAAAAAAACCGACATCCCGAAAAACATTTTAGCAATGACGGAAAGATGCTCGCTCCATCAGAGTCCATGTCGATGCAAATCGGGGTCAGCCGGAGTGGTATACTTTTACATTAGTTCCGCTTTGAGGTGCATGACATAACAAGGCGTAATTCCAGAAATTCATCATCTCGTATCCTGCGTCTTCGGCGAAAGTGATCGACCGCTCATGGTGTTGCTCAGCAAAGGCGGGAAACGTGAGCGAGAGTGTAATGAGTCACGACGTCTGGACTGTTGGGGTCGATCGTCTCTGTCGGCCATGACCAGCGAGCAGAGACGCGAGAGCAGACGGATTGGATGCGTAGAGGTAGCTCACCCAATCTTGAAACTCAAATAACTCCAGTCCGGTGGTTCGCCATGAGGGCTGGCCCATCACCGAAGACAGCACGTTTCACCGGTGGTGCTTGTGGCCAGACCGAGAGCTGTGGTAACCTGAATCAGAATATATGTGTGGTGAGGCGTACTCGGCACTCTGAGCCGAGTGTGCGACGCAGGCATATCCAACAAGGATTATCCGTTGTTCTACGCCGTGGCCTGGTCTACCGTAGGATGCGCATCGATCAACGGCATGCTGGTAGTAGAGACACCGGCATGCCGCGTACAACTCGACCAGCTGATAACACATTGTCTATTCTTGTATATGACACAGTCTAACGAGGCGGTTCGCAGTGCCTGTTGCCGGTTTACATTCAAGGCCGCACCAAGGGCCTGATGTGGTCTCTTTATCTGGCCAACGGATGACCAGCCTTGTTTGGCACTTTAATTAAGCGAAGGGACTTGCAGACAGCAGCAGCAACTGTATCAAATCGAGGCTTGCGTGACGGGCGTACTTTGAAGGTTCGTTTTCAGATGTGGAGCGAAAGTTTGGAGTGGAATGAGCTGAAACAAGAACGAGGACACAATTATGGATATAAAAGCAAAGACAGACAAGGAAATGGATTAAGAGCGAGTGTTGTGTGGTATGGTGAATCGAATCTAGGCAGAGACGGGGACCATTACAGGAAGGAAGAGGCATCGTAGCCTTATATTAGTTCCGGCAGCAGCCTAGAGGAAGGCTAGGTAGGCTAGGCAGGGCAAGGCAAGGCAAAGGCCAGGCAAAGGACGGGTAAGGCAAGGCAAGGCCTGGCTGGGTAGGACTATGTGGGAAGGGATGGAAAGGGAAGTAGCCCAAGAGGCGTCCGTTACACCCCGATTCTTTGACCTTGGTCTGAGGAATTATCGGCACGCCCTCCGGAGCTTGTTCGGGGGAGACTCTATTCCCATACTCACACCTCTCGGAGGTGGTAAGAGAAGTCGTGGAGCGGCAAGGCAAACCTACCAAGTGAGAGAGAGAGAGAGAACGAGACAGTGAAGCCGCGGCAGCAACGGCAACTCTGACTAACCTCTACATCGTTTGATCTAAAAGCGGCATGGGGTCTGATGCAAACGCGCAGCAATGGGGCATGACGACTCCAGCAAGATAATGGGCTCGTCGTCGTCTGGAGGCCCCAGGCGGAGCATCTGGACAAAATAAGACGAGACCCTGGACGACGAAGAGCAGCACCGTACATCAACTAATTGACGTTCGACCCGGTGAGAGTCACTTATGCAGGCCATGGTACCGGGGGGGAGGAAGGGGGAGGGGGGAGGGGGGTATTGGTGTGGGGAGGGCGAATTTGGTGGTCAAATGGGGGACTGAATGCTCACAAGTTGCGAGTACATTACATGTCCGTTTTAGTGTCAAGTCCTGTTCGCTGCCGTGAGAGGCGCGGCATTTCGATATTGAGAAACAGGAAACAAACTGGCGGAAACAGGCGAAAACAGGCGAAAAGAGGGGTCCAGTGCGTGTACGGAGAAACTACGGAATGCCGCAAGGCGCCCCAGCAATGCGCCCGCGGAGCCACGCTTTAGTCGACCCCGGCGCGCCTATTCACTGCGCAGAACTCGAGCCCAAAGCCCGAGTCAACAGCCCTGAGAATAATCCACCAAAAAAATAAAAATAAATTGCAAATTGCAACAAATCCAGTCGACGCCGACCGGATTCGAACCGGTGCCCCCGAAGGGAACAGATTTCGAGTCTGTCGCGTTAGACCACTCCGCCACGGCGCCGTACGAAAAATCGCCAAAATACTACACTATACGCCGTCGAGGAAACCACAGTCCTCAGTCACGGCAAAGGCTTCCTTCAGGACACCTCGTAGCGAAAGGGAAAAGCTCCCCAGGCTATATGACTATAGGTGCCTGTTCACCGATGTGGATTGGCATCAGATGGATGCGCATCCAAATACACGGGGGCAATGGGAGTGAAGTACCTAGGACTTCGCAGAAGGACTCAATGTCGCTCGAAAGCCCTGCAGCAGGGCTAGCTACCTATAGCAGGGTTTGGGGGGTGGGGAGGGGGGAAGGGGGTGTGTCCATGCCAGGCAGGCACCAACGAACGGCGTTACCCACGATCCAACAATCGCTTGATCTAAATCCCGAAGAAGGTCGTACGAATATTAATTTTGGCACAACTGTCAGGTTCGTATGTATCAGATATGCTGATTACTCGCCACGTCTGACATATATTCGGGATTGGTTCTCTAGGAGAGAAGACCGACGTTGCTCTGCTTGCATTGGACTGATGCGCGTGTATCTCGCGGGGTGCCGGTTGGGAAAGCAAGCTCGGCGCTGTGAGTGAGATGATGACGACCGATGCGGTGCCGAGACCTTCTCTCTAGTTCCGCGGTCTCAGCCAAGATGCTGTCGGTCAACTGCTGCGATTACGATTGCGACAGCGATTGCGATTACGGTTGCGATTGCGATTGTTCCTCTCAAGATATTGGAACAAGTCCACGCACGCCGCCCTGCCGCTTTGCCGCCATGCCGTCTGCCTGGCCGTTGATGCGCAGTCTCTTCCATCGCTTTCTCCGACTACACTGCGCGAGAATTTACAATCTTATTGCACCGTTTCCATCGACTATCCGATTCTGGTCGTCTCAATTGGACTGCACAGCAGCTATTGTCTCAGCTGCAATACGAAGCAGCCGCCACCCTGCTTACTCTTGACGTTACCCTCGGTAACACAGATGGAGAACCTGAACTGTCGTTTCCGCGATGCACAACAGGAGAATGCGACGCCGATGCACATCATTTCGCCTATCAAATGCTTGCTACAATAGAGAGCACCAACGTCAAGCCTAGAAATAATTCCCATCTCACAACGCCCACGCTCATTGCATCAGCGCTTCTCGTACAGGGTCACCGAAGAGTCAGACACTGTGATGACGGCATATCGCAGTCAGGTGTCAGAGCCACATTGCCGTGCAGCCTTGCAACATGCCTTGCACTATGCAAGGGTCCAGGGGGAGTGTGCATATTATTAGCAACGCGCGCGGAGGCGGATGATGCACACCCACAGCCACTTTCTTCAAATGGCATTGCACTAACTAGTATGCTATAGTCTATATGGAAATCCGTGCTCCGTACTCCGTAGACCAGAGGAGCAGAGAACCTTTGACGGTGGGAGGAGTTGTTATCGCCGAAGGCCACAAAACAGCATCCCTCTGCTTTGTTGGTGATTCATCGCATTGGAGATAGCGAACATGTCGCCGCTAATACCGACGAGACTCCCTCGACTCTTTTGACAAAATGTGAATCATGTAACTCCCATCTCTCTACGGAGTGCTTTCCGGAAGAGCCTGAATCGTCATTGGAAAACCGTCTGTCTACTAGTTAAGTGGCTGAGGGCATGCACTCCTGGGCCCCCGGCACTTTTTTCCACTTTTGAGCAGCTTAATTACTTGTGTCACTTGGAAGACCACACATCTCCAGCATGGAGAATGGGAGCAATGGAGGCAGCATCAATTCTCGATATAGCATGACGGAGTGTTGGTGTGTGTATGACTGTGATTGAGCACGTCTCATGACCTCGGTACTTCGAGAAGTCGGTTGAGTCGCCAAGGTTGACACCATTTCGGGTGCTGTTCCATGTCTCTGAGCGGCATGCATGTCCCAGACATTACCGCATGTCTCAACCCAGCATCTGCCTTGGTAGAGCTCCGTATTCCATGCAAGCAGACTCCGTAGCAATTGCGGGTTTTGGAATCCGCAGCTTAGTGCCACACCCCACAGACGGGCGCGCTGGCAGATGGCCAACTGACTAACTGTACTAGTAGAATCTGACGATGAATGCGGTGTTTTGTCTGCGTACGCAGCAAACGATCAGGGAATGACCGGCCATTGTTGGTCATCCCTGCGAAGCCAAGTGAGTTAAAAACGCCCATGGATTTACCAGCGTGTAAGAGGCGTGTTGCGCTGCGCATAGCCATCCTGACTACACTCATAATACCAAGGTGACGTTCGGCCTTTCAACTAGATTGAATACTTCCGCGTTGAGACAACGACGGAGAGTGAGTGAGTTTTGGCTGTCCAGATCCGCCTCATAGGACTCTGCTGCAGACGCATCAAGCAACAGCTTATGGCCCGAGAGAAGGGGGGGGGGGGGCGCTGTTGGGACCTGCTACGACTCGGGCAGCATGAACCAACTAGGGATCTACCGTAACCATTGGGGGTAGGCTCCCTGCGAATTTCATTTACGGTTTATAAAAAAGGATGCTATTCTGAAATTGTGCATGGAAGGTACAGGCAAGGCAAGGCAGCAACAGCGGCTTGGGAAACACGGAGCCACAGCAAATCGACGGCGCCTTGGCCGGCCCTGTCGGCGCTCCACAACAGCCTAAACGGTCGGGCGACCTGCCCCGTCGACCACCGTCGTCGTTTGGCAGTGTCTACAGCACCGTTCCCGACGGAAGGCTGGCACGCTACTGCTGGTATTGCAAGCCCATCCTGGCATGTCCAGTTCGATCGGGATTGGGTCCAACGACCTGGCTGCTCTGGCACTCTGGCTGTCTGGATGCCGAGTGGCGCTCTGGTGGCTCTGGTATGTATGTACATACGTCTGCCCTGGGACTGGGACACGTTCCGGCGCTGGCGCCATGTCCGAGCCGCGGGATCTTGCCCATATCCCATGTCCATATGTATATTATTTTAGTCCTGCGGAGGAGTAGCTGCGGAGGACAATCCCAAGCAACAGCAACAGCATCAGCATCAGCAACATGCCACGCAATTGACACATACAATACGGAATACCTGGGTACGGTACTCCGCAGCCACTCCGCGGGCAGGCAAGAAAGCTCCCCGTGGCTCCAAGTCCATGTCAGCCATCTCAATCAAGAGCCGGAAGACCCGCCACTAGACGCTAGCATTTAGGCAGCCCCGGATGCCGGATTTCGACCTGTGACCTCATGGCCCTTGCCCTTGTCGTCCCAATCTTTTATCCAAATCGCTAGCCTGAGGATGTCCTCCCCAAGACCAAGACCCCTGACGGCTGGCTGGCTGGCCGTTCGAGCAGCACTAAGCGCCCAGAAAAAGTGGACAGTGGGAGCTTGAGTGGGCTGCGCCTCGCCCCGTGGCTCGCTGGGTCCCCACGTCCGTCCGGGTTAGTCGTTGCTCCTGCTGCGGCGTGAAAGGATTCGATTCGCATTTTTGGTTTTGGATGAGCTTGTTGCTCCGTAGAGAGTCGGTTCTCCAAGTCCCCGCTCTCCGTTGTTGGCCCAGCCGCCTCCGCGCCGGAGTCGCCGGCGTGGGCTGCAGCAAACAAACAGGGTCAAGTGGCTCGCAACTCGCGGCATTTAACCAACCAGTTAGTCACCTAGTTAATATGAGTGCAAAACTGATTTGGCAGCTGTTTCGACAGCGCTCGCGCAAAGAACGTATGCTCCGTGGCGGCTGCAAGGGGCAACAAGCAGGTGCAGTAAAGTAAGTACGCTTATGCTGGCTTGCTCTGTCTGTCTGGCTTGCCGAGGCGCTGGTGGTCCATCCATTTGCTGCAATTGCAGTGCAGGTCCATACAGAGCACATCAGAACAGCAAAGAGTGTCCTATCTCAAACCATGTGATGCCGCCCAGTGAGCAATGTCATTTGGTCTGACATTCAGAGGTCTGCCTCGCCGTATTGTAAGTCCAGCCAGCCGATCGGACAGATTCGTGATCCGGTCCGCTTATCCGTCCGGATCGCTTCTTTCGCCACCACCGAGTATTATCATCATCATTATTTGTTTATTTATTGTTTATTTTATTTTTATTTTTATTTTGAATTCGTTATCGTATGTTCGCCCTGATCATTTGCAATTTCATACATACACCCTCCAGCAAGCATTTCGTCTTGCGTATTGCACCTACGCATCCGATCTGTCCGGGTCCGAGATTGCAGCACCCTGTTTCTTCCCACCTGTCGTCATTCTTCACCAGTTGATTACAAAGCGTCCTGTCGTCAGCGCGCTTCAGGTGTACATTTCTCTTCTTTGACGCCTTTTTTTTTAATTAAACAAAATTTATTTTCCACAGCCGAGCTGCCCGGCCATGTTTCAAATAGCCTTCCCCCGAGAGACAAGCTACTAACTAAGTAACAAACGGGCCGTCTCTATATCGGGAATACGATATGTTTGCAAGCGCAGTGCTGCAGCCAAGCGGCCAACAAG